TGCGCAGACCAATCTGTCCACTTCGATGCTTCGTTAAACCCGTCGAATGCCTCCCGAAACGCCGCTGCTCAAATCTACCTCGACGGATCTCACCCCGCGATGATCTCCGTAACCTCCTGACCGACCACCCTCATCCACCCTCCAGACTGATCGATAATAACAAATTGGTTGGACGAAACCGAACCCCGCTCCTCGGCTAAGCCGATAGCGGACACTCCAAGCCTAAAGATCGCCTTACGTAGGGGCGTAGCTAGGGGAGGGCCAACCCTGGCCCAACCTAAATTAAAAAATGTCTATATTTTTAGTGTAAAAAATTTTGTATAATTTTTTTTCCAAAAATATTATTTGTATCGGCCTAGTCCGACCCAGTGCCCTGACTTCACCCTGACCTTACTTCAACCCTAGAAAGGCTTATCCGGTTATAAAAAATCATTATATAATCGTGCTTACATTCAGTCCATAAAATATTTCAGTTTTATTTAGTGACTTAATTGCTGCCACCGCTCTTAACTCCACTTGAATACTTGATGGATTATCTACGCCGTAGTCTAAAGTTCGTCTACATAAAGCAGTAAAGCACGTAATATGATTGTCCCTTATGTTTGTCCTATACCATATTTTGATGGTTATTACTCCCTTATCTCTCTAACTTTGTCCCGTTTTACCTTTTTCGTCTGTCCCATTATGTTTGTCCTATACCATATTTGGGTGGTTACAATCCATTCTTACTTTATTCATGCTTTATCAATTCAATATCAACCACACAATTCCATTTTTTCTTAAAAGTTGTGTCACACTCCTTTGTCCCAAACATAGTGGGACAGAGGTAGTATTAAAATGTAGGGACAACTATCAAATAAGCCCCTGACTTTTCATAAAAAGTGCAAATAAGCCCTTTTACATGAGGTTTTATCCGGCTGTCGCCATTTGGGGCGGTTTCTGGTGGATTTTTTTGATGAATTTTTTTAGCATCTTCTTTATTAAGTCTAGTTTACCTATACCAAATTTCAGCTAAAAATTCAATCGAGAAGGTAGTCAAAGGATTTTATGAAATATATTGTGCTGCCTAACTGCGCACTTATCTTCAAAAATTCATTTGACTGCCTTCCCGATTAAATTTTTAGCTGAAATTAGGTATGAGTAAACTAGACTTAATGAAGAAAATGCTCAAAACATTTCATCAAAAAATTCCACCGGAAATCGCCCCAAATGGCGACGGCCGGACAGAGTCTTCTATAAAAAGGCTTATTTGCACTTTTTATGAAAGTTCAAGAGCTTATTTGGTAATTCTCACTTAAAATGTATATCAACAATAATAACACAATAACACTGTTTTAAGTACTTGCTCAGCCTAGGCCAAAATATTACGGAGTATAATACATAGTATTATACTGTACTATAATAATAACGACCAATAAGATTACGGAGTATAATATAACAATATTATGGACAAAATAATAAGTAATGTCATAAAAAAAAAATTCTAAGTTCTAACTGATAAATACTCCCTTTCAAAAAAAACTGATAAATACTCTGCATATAGAGAAATATGGGTATACGCATACAAAATAGGGGCACAAAAACAGTACACTTTTTTGTATCTATAAGTACATTTGTCCCATTACATTGAAGCATGAGGAGGATGTGCACTTATTAACAAAAATGAGTTTGTGTGGTTGACATCGTATTGAGAAAATAAAAATGATTAAGAATCAAATAAAATTTACCAAATTTAATATTAGATAAAATTAGTGATACGTATGACTAAAGAAAGATAAAACAATCATAACGGGAGGAATCGATTACACTCCATTATATTATGCTTGGTCCAAAAGGTGGAATCTCCCACCCCAGGAGCCCCCCATACCTCGACCCGACAGGATTTTTGGGAGGATGCTAATCACGGTGACTCAGTCGACCCAATGATGGTAGGCCTTTTTCCCGTGTTCACCAGAGGTCCAGCCTTATTTCAGGTTCTGTGACCTTCACACGGCCGCTGCGGGTTTCGAACCTTGGTCACTTGGTCCAAATTTCCCACCACTGAACCAACTAAGTTACCCGTGCAGGTATTATATTATGCTCTAAATGAGAGGGGTTGCTATTTTCATAAATCATTGATGGAAATGGATGGATTTGGCATTGAAGTGCAGGCTATATTTATAGGCATGATAGAGTGTAAGAGAAAAGTCAAATCTCTATGGTAGAGAGTGATGGCTTTTTAGGGAAAGTTACAAGTCCAACGAACTATGTTCATTCACTTGAAATATACTCCGTATGTGTTAGGTAATTGGTGCATATATGATCCCTCCTTTGAATGAGCCAAAATGCCAAACGTATATGATCCCTATTTTGAATGACCCAAATATGTACTCGTATTATTTTTCTTGGGCTTTTGTGGTCGACCAAGTTTACTACTTCAGCTTTGTAAATTATTTTGTGTAAAAATAATCCTTATAAGTTCCATATTGTATACTCCTTATTACTCCTTTCATCCCGAATTGTAAGACAATTTACGGTTTACGATGTTTGACTGAAAATAAAGTAAATTGATCTCTGTCAACACTCAATTTAGTTTTAGAAAATAAAATTTACATATTCAGAAACTACATTAAAACTGCTACCAAACCTGCAAAAAATAGTTCAAATTTCATAAAATTGTGATATATTCAAATTTACATATTTAAAAGTGATTTGTGTTGACCAAGGGAATAAAAATGATATCTTATTGATAGATTATATGTCTAGAGAGAAGCGAGAGCTAGAGAGAGAGAAATGAGTTGTATTAAATGATTTTCGAACTCCTACAACTAATCCCAAGGGGGGTATTTACAGGGAAAATATGGGTTGGACTCCTAAATCTTGGGCTTGGGAGACCCATTACAATACAAGGCCTCTATTGGGTTGATTACATTCGGATATATGAGATAAGTATGGAAATCTGGCATACGAAGTTCTTGGAGACGTACGTCTGGCTGACGGAGGTGTGGCAGACAAAGTTCTTGGCGACGAGCGTCTGGCTGACGGAGGTAGTGCAGAAGGCCGTACGTCCCCGGGGTGTTCCATGTGCTTGAGGCCGTACGTCCCCGGAGTGTTCCATGTGTTTGACGTCGTACGTCCCCGAGGTCTTGCATGTAGCTGGAGGCCGTACGTCCCCAGGGGACCGCTGTATTCGTGAGGCCGTACGTCCCCGGAGTGTTCCATGAGCTGAAGAACGTACGTCCCCGGGGTCTTCCATGTACTGAAGGTCGTACGTCCTCGGAGTTTCCCATGTGCTGAAGGACGTACGTCCCGAGGTCTTTCATGTACTGAAAGCCGTACGTCCATAGGGTTTCCCATGTGCTGAAGGACGTACGTCCCCAGAGTCTTGTTTGCAGTAATGGAAGTATGTGAGTCATGATGTCTGGACCCATATACTCTATCATTTACAAAATGGGACTAAGGGTTTTCCTTATAAGTTCCATATTGTAAATTAAATGACTCGAATTATCAAGTTTATGTCATCCAAAAACAACTCCAAATCTACGTCAAAGTCCAAGCAAAGCCCGATAGACAATCAAATATTGTGCTTTTATTTCTCTCTTTTTTTTATAATCCAGGTGCCGGGGCTCACGCTTCTATAATTCAGGAGTCTATGAACTACCCTCCAAAGTCCCTAGACAGTTAAATCCGGATCTGATCACAATCAGCCTCGTCAGTATTGGCTCCAAAGGACGAATCCAGCAGGACTTACATCACCTTTCAGGTTGCTCCTCCCACCACATGAACCCGCTACCTTCATTACCATCCTCTCCCTTCTCAGCCGCTGAGCAACTCCATGAAAGTAGGAAGAATCATTGAGAGCAAGACCTCCCTCATCTCCCCTCGGTGAGAATTGAATCCAAGACCTAACACAAAGGAGAGACTTGAGGGTGGATGGTCATCCATTGAACTACACCCACCTTTCCCTTTGTTTGGGAGCCGTGTCTCATTAAGGTAATCCAAAAAAAGTGAGAACTCATGAGTAATCCGTATATATAATATACTTGGTCACAACTCACAACTACTAACATGCAACTCGTCAATGCCTTGTTAATTATTTATATTGTTGATTTTCTTAAACTTTAAATTTAATAATTTATCTGATGAGTATTAAATCGATTGATAATATTAAAAAAACTATTTTCCGTAATTAAAAATTAAGAACATATGAAACAAATACTCGTCGCTGTACAGTGTTACTAGAGGATTCCTAATATATACTCCAGATTTTAATAATTATTTTGATATATTCAAATTTGAATAGACTTTATTCGTCTTTGTTGATATTCTTGCATATCACTTAACATAATTATTTACGGAAATTACTCTAAATTGGAGTAAATGAAGTTTGAAATTTCAAAATAGGACTACTATATTTTTCTTCCTGAAATATGAGTTTTTGCTGTCATGTATGAAAAATACTGCATAATTAAAAAATACTGTCATTAATTATAATAAATACTGTCATGTTAAATGAAATATACCGCAACTATTTTAGTCATATTTCGGGAATAAAACATAGTAGTCCTATTTTGAAATTCCAAACTCCATTTACTCCTATTTTGGAAAATCTCCCAATTATTTATCATCACAATTTTTTCAAAGGATTTTGGTAAAATATATCTGAGTGAAGTACTTGTTTTCTGTTACAATTTGGTATATATTAGGCATTACATATCTATTTAACAAAAATCTTTACTCAAACTAAAAATCTTAAATTTAATTTTTAAAAAATATATTCTCTCCGTCCCGGAATTATCTTCATTCTTTCCTTTTCGATCCGTCCCAAATTTATCTGCTTTGTCTCTTTTTGGTAAATAATATGTGGTTCACAACCATTCTTACACGTTTCTCTCTCCTCTGCATAACTCTCCACCACACAAATCCCACTATCTTAAAACCCGTGTCCGGTCAAAACCGGAGTTAAATATGGGACGGAGTAATTGTTACTAACACATGATTGGAATAAAATGACTTTTACCCTCATATAGCCTTCGGATCTTGTATTTGTTTTAAAGTCGCACACTAAAAAGGTATTGAAATAAAGTAGGAATTTAAGATAAGCATGAGCTGCAAAGTTTGACAAAAATATGCAATCTGCACCTCATACTCCAAAGTCCAATTATCCTTAACTTTTTGGCCCCTAAATTTTTCTTGAATAGTCAGCAAAAGATAAACTATCAATTAACGGCGGCCTTCAATTCTTCAATTCTTATTTGGGAGATTCGTAATCCCAATCTCCCGATCGACATTTTTATCGTCATCATCATCCATGAATCCCTTCCACAGCCAGTGCCGCTTCCAGACCCTCTCCGTCATCTCCTCAATCGGAACGTTCTTCGTCTCCGGCAACAGGAACAGGACGAACAGAGACATGACCGTAATCCAGCCCGAGAAGAACAGGAAGATCCCGAACTTGAAATGGCAGAGCATCGACAGGAACGCCTGCGCCATCACGAAAGTGAACACCAGATTCACGCACACCGTCACGCTCTGCCCCGCCGACCGCGTCTCCAGCGGGAACGTCTCGCTCGGAATCAGCCACCCCAGCGGGCCCCACGACCACGCGAACGCCGACACGAACGCGCAGATCATCACCACCACGAAGATCCCCCACCCGTGCCCCAGATCGTTCGAGTGGTCCGTCACTTTGATCCCCAGCACGACGGCAATCGCGATGTTGGCCAGCAGCATCTGGATCCCCGCCTCCAGCAGCAGCGGCCGCCGCCCGAGCTTGTCCACGGAGTAGATCGACACCACTGTGGACAGCACGTTTACGGCCCCGGTGATGACCGCGGAGTAGAGCGCCGCGTCGCTTCCGAATCCCACCGTCGCGAATAGCACCGGCGCGTAGAACATGATCGCGTTGATCCCGGTAAATTGTTGAAATATCTGGTGGGAAACAAAAAGAAAAGTTGTTAAATAAAAAAAAAATTAAAGAAAAGTTGTTAAATGTCTAGCACATTGATTACGATAGAATCAAAGACAACATAGTGGGAGTATTTCTAAAATATGACCTAAGCTACTTTATTCTTAAAAAAGAAATTTTAAGTTTTAACTGTTTCATTCTAAAATTACTGAACTACACAAGTTTTTTTTAATATCATTTTACATGTCTTACTTTCTTTTTCTGAATATTTAATAAGTAGCACATTTCTTTTATTTTAGAAAAATGTTTAATTCACAACATTTCATTTTATTATTTCAAATTTGAATCGCAAGGTTTACATTTTCAACCAGTTTATTAATAATTATGTCAAACCAAAACAAGAGAGATGTAGTACTAGTCTTATTTGTAGAGCCCGTTCGGTAATTTCAAAATCGTCTGATTCTGCTGAAATCTATAAAGTTATGGATGAAGTAGCTGGATTGACTGATTTTGGTTATTTATGAAAATATTATATTTAAAATATATTTTATTAATAAAATAAAGAACATATTATAAGAAAAAATAGCTAAAATGACATTCTACAATAACTTCAGCCAATTTAGTCAGAAAACTAACGTGAACATTACTTTTTTTATTATTATACAATTCAGCGCGCGAAATCAAAAGTTATGTATTTGGGAAAAAAATTAACTGATAAGTCTGATGAGTCAAAAAACAAATGGGCTCGTTACGTCAACTGTGTACTCATATCATTTTTTATTTGACATAATTAATAAATATTGGGTATTTTGTGACCAAACATGATCCTTGTCTAAAAACTTTATGGATTTTGATTGATACCTAAGTCAAAAGTACCCAAATGTTTTTTTTGATGAAAGAAGTACTCAAATGTTACGTACTACGAGTATAATTTTGATTGATTTTTACTAGTGTACCATTAAAGTTTGTATATTGTAAAATGATACATAGTATTCCTGTGTTTTTTAAAATAAATTTCAAAGTACATTTGACACAATATAAAGATAGTGAATATTGTGTGGTAACGAGTTATATACATATGAGAGGAATGTGTAAAAATGCGTAAGAATCGAAGTCAATGACAAATGAAAAATTAAACAAGTGAAAGTTTATTTTGAGATGCAAAAGAAGTTGGAAATTTAGTCAAGAGACGGAGAGAGCAACAAAGAATTTGTTCAAAATACGGAGTGTGAACAAAATGAAAGTTTTTCTTTGAAAGAAAAATTTAAAATAAGATTAACATGTTTTGTCAGCTAGATAAAAGCAAGTTAGATTATTGTTATGATAAAAGTAGATTGACATATTTTCACATTATAAAGCATAAATAAATATAGTGAAAATACTATAGTTATCTTGGTCACAATTATTTGAATTTAGGGACAACACTAAACGCAGTGTTCCTTTGTAAAATCAAATATTGGAAGTTTTATAATATGCTAAGATTCAAATAGAGATTTAATTTACACTCCCAGCCCATATATAAATATAAATATATGTTAGAAAAACTGACCTGCAAGGAAATGGCAATAATCAACTGAGGGCGGTTTCTAGGGCGGAGGAGATTCCGGAAAGGGTGCTTGACCTCCTTGGCGACGCGGCTGGCGTGGAGAATCTCCAGGAACTCGGGCTCAACGTTGGGGGTGCCTCGGATTCTGGAAAGGACCCTCTTGCCCTCGTCCACGTGTCCGCGCTCTATCAGGCTGTTGGGAGTGTCCACCACAAAGAGGGCACCCAACGTCAGCAGCAGCGCTGGAAATCCTGCTAGCCCCAGTGATAGCCTCCATCCCCACCCTCCCTTTATTCTGCATCCCAACCCCAACAACATTAATTAGTAAGGTTTAATTAAATTAAATGATTACGATTCATTCTCACTTTACGTACACTTTAACAATTTTATATGAGTCACATAATTTTACTTTTCTTAATAATTGTATCGTTTCCTTTTATCACGATCAATAATAAACTTAGGGGATGGATATTTCAACAACTAAGAAAGGATTCTTGTTACTATTTAGAACTGCAGATTAGTTGAAATATAGTAGCGCTATGCATCTAATCTCTAATTTTATGTCCTGATATGGATTGAAAAAATCCACTTTGATTTGAAGTGACGATAGGTAGCTAGCTAGCTTTGGTCTATGTTTAATTAATGTTGCTTTATCTAGATTTGGGTGAAGCGCTCGTTTTGATTAGTCCTGATTTGAGACAAATATAAGTTCAAATGCGCAATTAATTCTTACGAGGAAATATATATAATTTGGGTTCCCGACCATCAATCAACAATTATGTTGGTGAAATAGTTCATTCACTTAATTCACGTCTAACGATTTTGTAATGCCACATTATTGAGTCACAAATTAAAGCAGACCAATATAATGATGGCGTAATATATATATATTTTTATATTGTAAAATAAAAGGACGTATGAATAGTAGTAGCACTCACTTTGCGGTTCCATAGTTGACGAGATTAGCAAACAAAATGCCAATGGTGACGTTGAGTTGGAAGAGAATATTGAGACCTCCGCGTATTCTTGTGGGGGCAATCTCTGATATGAACAAAGGGACCGCCTATTCAAATCACACCACCAATTTATATCTCATTACTATTTTAATTACCCCCTAACTCTCAATGTAAGCAAAGATATCACAACAACAAAATTATGAGATTACCAGAGATTTTTTATAGAAATTTTTAGAGCATTTATCACAAATCGGTGCCAAATGACACGAGCTATTTAGCACGAAATCTCGTTCATTTCGTATCAAATCCGTTCCAACACATAATTTTTTTGTTGTGTACATTTTTATTTAAATAAATAAATACGGAGCATACGGACTCTATATTTACTAATTTACAAAGAGCGTTTTCTATCATTTTAGCAAAAAATTATTAATTTAGAATTTGAGAAAAAAGTTAACTACTAATCAAGAATTTGAAAGATAAATTGTCAATATAAAGGTCAAATGATTGAACACTTTTAGCCTAAGTACTTGTAAAGAGTTTTTTATAAATATCATAAGTGTTATTTAATTTCATTGAAATAAGAAACTTCAACATAAAAAATTAACCATAAAATGAATAAAAAATTAGAAGTGACACTTGGAGGATGCGAGTAGTACCTCGAATATTTGCATCTAAAGTATATTAAATTAAAATGTCATAAAGTGCATGGGGGTATATAAATATGATAAACATCTCATGTGAGGTGTTTACTGCACATTTCGTTAGGATATGTTGGGAGTTGGGTTTTGGAAGAGAGGTTGGTTGACAAGGATTTATGGCCCCTACCTTTCTTGTTTGGTACTTGGGAGTTAAAAAATACGGAGTATGAATGGATGATTTTGAAGGGTTTTTGTAACCCTTCAAAAAGCTCAATTTTCAAGTTCTCACAAATTGGAGGATTTTGAAGTATAACTAATTAAATGACAATTTTATCTTAATTTTAAATAAATATAAATACAATTATTTGAATTTGTCATATATGTGAAGTGATTTTAATTATAATTCATCTAAAATCTTTATTTTTTCAATTTTGATACTCTCAAACAAAAAGAAGAGTTTCCAACCCTTTCATTCCTCTTCCCTTCCAATGATTAACCTTCAAACCCCCCCCCTTCAAACTCCCAAATATACCCTTATTCTTCAAAAAAACTCAAAGCTTTATTAATTGTAAACACAGAGTTAGCAGTTCTCTTAACAAAGCGGTAGGTAGCTATCTTATATTAAAATATAGCTAAAATATATTTTGATCGTAATTTTTTTTGCTAAAATATAAAAATGTGGGGATACTACAATATATGTGAGAAAGTTTATCAAACAAAAAATAAAAAAATGGGGACAAAAAATTGCAAAAACTGCTGGAAAGAAATGAATGGTTTTTTTTGAAAGAGAAATGAATGATTTTAATAGTTGGTTTTTAATTAGAGAGGTAGATCATTTTTTATACTATCGTACTTGTGTATTTTTCATGTACTCTAGCAAATTGGTTTTAATGGTGCTTATAGTAAAGAAAATTTCCATGTGTTTTATATACGACAGTACAATGGAACAGATTATCCATGTGTTAGTGGTAAGCTGGAGACTTTTCGTACTCGTTAATATTTTTTACAACCATGCTAGGGGTACACAAGTTGTACACAAAATGTCGGTCACAGACCATTGGTACGGAATTGTCTGTGGGCACAAAAAAAAGTTGTCTGTGTACACAGACAACTTTTGTCTGTGTACACAGACATTTACTTTTTTGTAAAAAGTAGACTGACAGTCGTCTGACACTGACACCAACTTGCAAATCAATCAATATATGTGCAGTGTCTGTGTGCACAAACAATATTTTCATGTTACACAGACAATTATTTATCTGTGTGCACAGACAATAATTACCACACAGAAAATAGTTGTGTGTTTCACAGACAATAGTTGTTTGTGTGATCAACTTTAGTTGTCGGTGTGATCAATTTTAATTGTCTGGTTGAACGAAAAAATTAATTTTCTATATAATCCAAATGAATAATGTAGTTGTTTCTAAGAACTTTGTGGTTCATATCATTTTACTTCATTCTGCTCAAATTTCAACCACAACTATTAGAGTATATTATACTTTTACTTTTCAATCACTTTATAAATAATCGTCACAAATTGAAATGAGACAACCACTATGCGAGGGAGGTAGTACTATTAATGATTTAAACTGGAATTGGGGTAGGGTATGAAAAGTAATCTGGAATGCAGGTAGGTAGATACCTGATTAGCAAAGCCAACCCCACAGCCAAGCAAGATCCTGCCCACAATGAGCATGGCCAAGTTTTGAGCGGCGGCGTTGAAGATGACGCCGACAATGAAGAAGCAGCCTGCGATGAGCATGGTGAGCCTCCGGCCGAGCTTTCTGGTGGTGTAGGAAGCGAAGAAGGTGGCGGTGAGGCCGGCGAGGTAGAGGGAGGAGGTGAAGAGCTGGAGGCCTTGGTTGTCGTACTTGCAGTAATTGCTGTTCTGGCCCGGATGCTGTGTGTTCCGGTACACCACCGGAAAGAATTTCTTCAAGAACGGCCCCATTGATGTCACCCCACCTGCATAACCACAAATTAAACCTGATTAACTTAGGTCAAAATAATAATCCGTAATTAATTACCAACATCTTTCAATATATTTTCATACTAAATATAAATGTATGTAATTTCTTGATAGGTTTTAAATTTTCTCGAAGCTGCTTAAGAATGAAGGTTGTTCAATTGATTAATCAGGGTACGTGTTTGAATAAGTGAGACTGGCCGGATCATATTTTTAATTATAGCCTATATAGGCTTATGATGAGTTATGGAAACAAATTAAAATTAAACGGTTTGATGGTTGTTTCTATTGGTTGCTAAATAATTTTTTTCCATTCAAGAATTAACGCATAATTTCCTTTCTATCTCATAAAATTATCGAGAATTCAAAACAGATGGATAAGAAATTTATCTACGAGTTCTCACTTCAAATATTGAAAGCTCAAACAAATTTAGTGAACACTAAATAGAATAAAAGAATGTTCCAATTTTCATTTGTAAAATAAAATGAAAGTCATTATGTGATAGAGATGAAAGTTATGTTGTAATGAAAATCATTACTACCACTATTGTTATTATTACAACAACAATAACAACAACAATTTTTCCTTATTATTATCATTTTCATTATTATTACTATCATTGTTGTTCTTTTATTTTTTTAGGAACGAAAACTCGAACCATCGACAACAATTAGGAATCTAATCGGTAACGACCAATGGTTCATTTGTTTGAATTGAATCGGATCAAATTATAATGATTTGGTTCCAACCGATTCTTCGATTCCCGGATCCAATATCCCACTCCTGATGATAACCTAGACTTGAATTAGGGATCATATCGGCCTGGTATATATAGCCCCTTCAATCGATCTACTTTATTAGTTTTGTTTATTCTAAATAAATATGATCCGGCATGATAAAGTCTGATATTATAAAGTCAAATTTAAGTTTACTTCAGTCTGGTTTGATTTAATCTTCTATAATGTATTTATGTGTAGTCAAATTTAATATAATTTAGTGTGAGATAAATCAATTTATTTGAGAACAGTCTTCATTCTAATGTAGTTATGCAGACAACTACAATTTTCAAAATGTATAGGGATACATGTTTAAAAATTAAAATTATGATACTATGTTTATATCGTTTTTTAATTTCACTCACTAATATTTTCTTGAAAAAAAACAGGTAGATGCATGTGTAAATTGATGCACAAAACAACGAGGCATATAGAATTTTAATTCTACGAAAAATGCTTTGGATACATCATATATACATATATACCAGAGACGCCGACGTCATAGCCGAACATAAGGCCGCCGGTGGCGGCCATGATGCATGAGATGATGACTATGGGAGTTATTTTCGCCTCAAACTCCTTGTCGCTGCCGCCATCCCTCGCCGGAGTTGAAAATCCTGCCGCCGGCATGCTGTGCTGAATATCCGAATTCCGATTCTTTTTTTTATTATCACGTGCGGGTCCTCACCTATAATACGTATAGAAAATGTGCCTATAACCAAATTAAAACCCGATAATTTTTTTTATCCAAATGCAGCATGGGGGGTTGGTTATATATATAGCAGGGACTAACCAGCTACAGTAAAGTCAAGACCGGGAATATGACCGAAACCTAAACTATTCAAATTTGATCGTCTAACCGTAAACGTGACACTTCAATATGATTTCAGATTTAATTAATCTTCAAAAATTAATTAAATCAATAAAAATTCACTGAATCTCGAGGTTTAAACGGTAAAAAAATTATCTTCACACACATAATCGTATTAATTAATAATTAAAATTAAAATTTAGTTACATGCATGTTTAAAAACTACATAAAAAGAGTTCTATTGCATTTTAACATCGTAATAACTTGATATAAAATATTGAAGTAGTAAACTCATATATTAATAAGATCTTGAGATCGGTGGCCGTAGCTCAACTGATAGCAAGGGAGTGCCACAACGATTAGGCCCCAGGTTCGAATCCCGGCAATTGCGATGAGAGGTTACTATGCTAAAAATGCATAGGGCTTCTGCAAGTATCGGGTACAGAGCCTCACTCTCTATCTGTCAGATTGGGATTAGAGTCCAATTTACATCCTCCCAACGTACCGTCCAGTCGGGGTTGGGGGACCCTCAGGGATGAGGTGTCATCCTTTTTAATAAGATCTTGAGCTATTATTCATTTAGGTTGATTTTGTAGGTGGGACATCGGATCTTAACATGATATTAGAGTCACAACGATCCATAACGATTGATCGTTAAAAAAATGACGACACGACACGATTACAAAAAAATGACAACGACGAACCTATAGAAAAGTGAATCACAACACGGTTCAGACGAAGTGTCTGGACGTTTGGAAACGTACCAAAGTTCCAGACCAGTAAATATGAAATACGGAGTAATAAAGTGTTGTATTAAAATTCAAAATTACTTCTCCTACAATTAAAGAATCCTGATTCTTAACACATGCATGAACTTCTATATATTGATGAGTAAATTGTGAATATTGAATTCCATAAGTTAACTACTTTTCCCTTCGTCCCGGTGAATTTTGCCAAATGCAAATTAAAGTGAGTGAGAAATAAAAAAATTAAAAATTTTGTATTTGAAATATATGAAGAGGAGAGAGAAATGTGTATAAACACAAATTAGTTGCTTTAGTGGGAAAATGTCAAAATTTTTAGAGGCAACCAAAAGAAGAAATTTGACAAATTAAAGTCCAATGAGACAGCGAGAGTACTATTATTAATTTTAAAAAAAAAGTAATACTATTACTACAAATAGGTTCATTGACAAGTCTGACTACAGACTTATTAGGAGTTGCGAAATGATGGTAAAAGTCGTGCATGGAGACCCATGGTTTGACACGTGTCTAAACAGTTACTCTAAATTTGGATTAGTACAAATTTAAGGATAATTGAAGGTAGCGATGACGTCAGTCAACCCATATATAAATGTGTTCTTAATTGATGGCTTCATATTTTGGCATTCAAGTCAACGTGTAATACTCCTTATATTAGCTCAGCTCTATCCGATTATCACCGCGTAGGCATTGACTGAAATGGGACACTGTACTGTATCCAAGTTTTACTATGCCGTAAATATACGGTACTTCGTATAAAAACTATTCCCCCACCCGCCGCCGTCTTTTCTCACGTAACTTTATGAAGTCCAAGAGAAACAAGAAAAAATAAAATAAATATTTTATTAAAGATTAAAAAGGAAAATGATTAAATTTATGGGATAACTAACAAGGAAAAATGACAATTATAACAAACAAAAGGAGTATACTTGTAAACACGCGTGCACAATATGTTTCTCTCGTATACTTTACGTGTTACAAATGTTTGATGTAAATAATGCTATATTTGAGGCGAATGTTGTTTTAAATATTGTCAATACGTGTGAAAATTAATGTTTGACTAATTACGAGTATTATTTATATAGATATATGCAAAGTACAATATCACACAATTAGAGCGGCCATAGTACCTCTAGTAGGGTTTTTTATTCTTCACCGATTTTGTGAGGCTACTTTGCTTCTATTGACGAGGGGTTGTTTCCATTGCTGCGGCTCAACAGTGATGGTAGGACGCCACCAAGCGATGGACAAAGGGAACAGTTGATCGAGAAACACATCAGGAAGGCTTGTCTGATGATCGATTCGGCTCATCAGGAAACCAAACGCCGGAGGACTGGTGCGACGGACTGGAGCAGAGGCGCTAGGGTTTAGAGCCGTGTCTTGCCCACGTCAAAAATCATAGCGAAGGTCTGGTCTCCTCCTGAACCACCACCATAGGTTGTACGAGGTGGTAGAGTCCGTGAAAGTTTTCCTATTAGTTTTTATTATTTTGTCATTTTGTTTCTTGTTGTCGTCTATGTTGGTAGGTTTGTCAATTTGTTTGGGATTTTAGCCTTTTTATGTCATTGGGTATGTTTGGATTTATGGGAACATGGACCACTGTGTCAAGCCCGGTGCATGGTTAGTGATTCGTGTTGCTCTTTCAGGGGTGACCGTCTCTAAATTTGATCATAGAGTTTACAGTCATAATTATTAGTGTTTAGTTGGTGTCAGATTTGTTTTTTCTTTGATTGATGTAATGATCCTGAAACTTATGATATGAATAGAGGGAAGTTTGCGATAAAAAAATCTATGCATATAAATAATGTAGGGAAAAGAGTCAAATAGGCTCTCGAACTAACTTAAAAAGTGTAAATCAGAGGCTCTGTCCGTCCGTCGTTATTTGGGACGGTTCTCGAACTAGACTTAATGAACAAGATTCTCGAAAAGTTTCATAAAAAAATTCCACCGGGAACCACCTGAAATAGCGACGGCTAAACAGAACCTTCTATATAAAGGGTGATTTGCAATTTTTAAGTTAGTTCGAGGGTCTATTTGACATTTTTCCCAATAATGTATGATGTGTGCAAATATGAAACACGTAGTATTACGGCATTACGTTGTAAACATGCAATCAATTTATAAATTTAAGTTCATACAAAAGTTATTATAAATATTTATAATAACTTTTGTATGAACTTAAATGGAAACTAATAATCCAACTTTTTAGCAGTTTTCTTACAATAGTCTCACCTTTTGATTATTCATGAATAATCTAACCTTTGCACTCATCTTCATTCAATGGTCCCTGGCCGATTTATGATCTGTTATTCCAAGTTATTTTCTTATCTTTGCAAAATATTATGTGATTATAAGGTGGAAATTATGGTATAATGTTTTACAAAGATAAGAAAATAACTTGGAATAACAGGTCATAAATTGGTTAGGGTCCAGTGAATGAAGATGAGGTGCAAAGGTTGGATTATTCATGAATAATCAAAAGGTGAGACTATTGTAAGAAAACCGCTAAAAGGTTCGATTCTAGTTTCCATTTTCCCTTTATAAATTGATTGCATGTTTTTGCAACATCCAGAGTATCGTTCAAGACCCATTTAGGTGATGTTCTCTTCGTCTTATTCTTATTACTTATTGCTTATTCTTATTTTATTCAGATCAGATCAGATTAGATCAGAAAAATTAAGATCAGATCAGAAACATTCAGATCAGATCAGATCAGATCAGAAACATTCAGATCAGATCAGATCAGATCAGAAACATTCAGATCAGATCAGACAAATTCAGATCAGAAAGATTCAGATTAGATCAGATCATATCAGAAAGATTCAGATCAGATCAGATCAGATCAGAAAAATTCAGATCAGATCAGAAAAATTCAGATCAGATCAGACCAGATCTTAAAAAATTCAGATCAGAAACATTCAGATGAGACGAATAGAACAACTTCTTAGTGAACAAGACATCAACTAGATTCGAGAGCGTTGACCATTGTTTTGCTACGAAGCAACTAGCATTTATAGGGATGGACTCGGGCCGGGCCAACCGGCCCGGAACCGGACCGGACCGGCCCGCTATTGTGCGGGCCCGGACCGGCCCGGTGAACCGGTTGGTGCCCGGTTCGGGCCACCCGGCCCGGTGTGATAGCGGTTCGGTCCCGGGCCTGCATTTTAGTGAACCGGTCCGGGCCGCAACGGTCATATTTTTTTAAAAAATAAATAGTTAAAGGCTCTATAGCCGTTGGGAGAGCTCCCAAACGGCTCTATAGCCGTTGGGAGCATAGGAGGGGGGGGGGGGGGGGTCTGGGGGGTTAGGGGGTGGGGGTGGGGTATACAAAAAAAACCTATTTATACTCCTATTTTCTATACATTTTTTACACCTCTTCTTCTACAACTCTTCCTACTCTCTAAATTCTCTATTCTCTCAATCTCTCATATTCAATCATCTTCATTCTTCATGTTCTCCAAATTCTTTCTACATATATATATAATTTGTATAATTATTATATCTACTTATATATTAATTATCTACTTATAAATATATATAGAAATTAGTTCAAATAGGACTAAAACTATGGCAAAAAACTAAAATAGGACTTGCTATGTTTTTATTCCAAAATAGGACCATATGAGTCCTATTGGAAACATACCTATTTTTGCATTCCATTCTTACCCTTCCATTAAATATGAATTAAAAATAGTCAAAAGCCATAATTAAATGTTTAAATCATAATAAATTCGAAAAAAAATTCAAAAATTCGTAGAAATATAATTAAAAAATTTATAAAATTTTTATAAAATAAAAAATTCAAAAACTTTTTTTTTAAATAATTTTATTTTTAAAAAAATTAATAAAAAATAGTAAAACTCTGTAAAAAAAATTTTTAAAAATATGGATGCCTTTCCCACCGCCTGTACTACCTCCCAGCACCACCACCTCCGGCCGATGAAAGAAATGCCATTTTCCCAGAAAAATGCCATTTTTTCTGAAAATGCCAAAAAAGTGGCATATTTCTCTTTTCGAATGCCAACATTTTCATTTTTTTCCGCCATAAATATGGCATTCGTAATGAACTTGGCATTTTATCCCCTAGTGACAGGAGGTGGTGGTGCTGAGGCGGCAGATGCGGCGGTGATTTTTTTAGTTTTTAGTTTTTTTTTTAGTTTTT